TGTTGACAAGAAAGGAGGAGCAACCTGGGAATCCTTGGAGAATGGTCTCATAAATATTGGACAAAAACCAGTTGCTGAAAGTAAAGTATAAATATCTTTTGCATTACATTATATTGATCCAATTATTAGAACTAAGAGAAAGAAGGAAAAACAGAAATAAATAAAGACTCATACTATATAAAGGATGATGTTATTGATTATGATAACAGCTTGTTGTTTTTGGTATCAAAAGGAATTCTTAGTAATGCATTGCTGTGTGTTTGTTGTGATAACTCAATGTCAGTTCCAGTTTCATTTCTAAAAGGATGAGCTTTAGCATGTTCATATCAATAATACAAGACTGATCAGGATTCATGATAATTTGTCTGGCTTTAAAAATCCATAAAAAATCTAAACTTGATCGGAATCAGGTCAAACTTTCTATACAACATAAGAATATGTATATGTATCAGAAAATGTAATAAAAATTGTGAACTTTAAATTTTTCAATTTTAGCAAAATTTGGCCTGAGACCATGTACTACAGGGACTTTGGCCCAATTTTGGAGCAACTTTAAAAATTTGTAAAAAATCTAAATTTGATTGGAACCAGCAGTGAAGTGGCTTTTAAACTCAATGACAAGATACATAATAGTGATGATTCTAATGCCTGTCTACTTACCATATGTGAGATATTTGAATCTGAAGAAGTAGACCATGATATCTGCCAAGACTCAATGTCATTGGAGAAGGAGGTGATGACGCATACAGACACTTGAGGAGGACAATAGAAGCATGGCTGAAGGGAGAAGATAATGTAACTAGTAGAACATGGCAGACTTTGATAGATGCTGTGGAGGGAAGCAGGATCATGCAGATGCTGAAAGAGTACCTGATAAACTGAAAACCTTTTACAATATTACACTTTAATAATGATACCAGCATAGTACAATTTTAAGTAATTATTATGAGTTGAAATGATTGGCATATTCTTTTGGCAGAGGTGCAGGAGCTAGTAAATAATTGCTATCATTTCAAGTAACAACAGGATAGGGGAAGGGCAGTATAAGGTTTGTTCCACTAATGGAAAGGTGAATGAGTAAATCATATACTACTGAACTCTTTAAGTTAAACACAGGAAGCTATCAGTTTTGATAGCAATCAGGTAGCAGGTATATATACCAGTAGTGAGTATCTGCCCACATTAGAAGTTGTTGAGACTGTTCAGTAACAGAGCTTCATTCAAACCTTTGCCTGTTCTCTTTACAACTGATTAACATGTCAGACGGTAAGTGCTTGACTATATGTAGATAGTTGATGTATGTATTACTGCTGTAATCAGGACAGCAACAAATTCATGTAGAGATGTGACAATAGTACAATATACTTGAACTAATGAGACACAAAACCAAGTGTAAGCATTGTTTATAGTAATCAGTGAACACTCCAGAGAGTGCCTATACTCTGATATAGCACGCCATTAACTAAGTTGCTGTGTATGTTTTATATGTAGCCTACAATTGTGTTTGATTCCTATACAGGCCTATCTACCACTTGGCATGTTATATAAGTTTGTACTAAATTTATTATTTTAGTACTGGGTATTAAAAAGTTAGCCAATGTGATACGCTGGTTAGAGGAAGCAGGTTTTAACAAAACTAGATGGCAGGAATTAGGAATAATACTTGGGCTGTATCACAGTACACTGGCTACAATCGATGCAGACCAAAAAGGCAATGTTAACAGCTGTTTTAGGCAATGCCTTATCGAGTGGCTGAGAAGAGCTGATGATGTTGATAAAGTTGGTAAACCATCTTTTGATACACTGGCTGATGCTCTTGACAAAATGGATTGTAAAGATCAAGCTGACTATATAAGTAAGTGTATAACAAGGACCACATCATTATTCTCAATATAACAACATCATTGAACCAAGCATAATTGCATATTAGTTATTACATCATATAGGTGGTAGCCTATATGTAGGATTCAGGTGGATTTTTCAAGATGGCGGCAGTTTTTATGATTTTTTATCTTTTGCATGCACGCTGATGCAATGGTGAAAGTGAAAGTATTGTAACAATGTAATTGAAGTGATGATTTGTTACTTGGAATACTAATATTATATGCCATTTCAAATATTCAAAATTAGAAAAATTAATTAGAAAATTACTAATTACTAATTAGAAAAACACTTTCATTATAGGTATCACTGCAACAGAAGTATCATCCACTTCCTTCTCACCACAGCCTGCAGTCATAACACAAGAGACAAACTTAAGTACAAGAGAACATCATTTACACATTATAGTCAAAGCTATTGTTTTCTTTCTTTAGGTATAACTGATTTAATGCTAGTGCTAAGTGTTTTAAGCCAAGCAATGTTTGGACCAGTTCATTGGATAGATTTAGGATTGTCCCTTGGTCTCCATATGCCTTCTCTTGACGAGATTCGTACAACTAGAGGAGACGCTACTGATTGCCTCAAACAAACTCTTCAAAAGTGGTTGGAGGGAAGGGATAATGTTACAGGAACAACATGGGACAACTTAATAAAAGCAGTCAGAAATACTGGGGATAGGGCAGCTGCCGAGAGGATACCAGGAATCCTCAAATCAAGTATATTTTTTGCCAGACACTTGTAGCAATAATTATTGATAAGTATCTGTGTTAATACAGCAGCCTTGCCACCTGATATCAGTGGGAAAAAAGAGTATCAGAGCTCATTTAGCCAGAAGAGCTTAACTGATTGATTACCTGAATTCCTTGCTCTTCTTTCTTTTGTTTCTCATTGTTTATAATGAAATTTATAAAACACGATTACTTTTTATATAGGGGGGGAATACCCTGCGATGACAGGCAAGTTTCATTCCTTATTATTGGATGCTGTAAAAGAAGCTCTGACCACAAAGTCTATAGATGATGTTAAGGGGTGTCTATTGGATCTAGAAGCAGCTGCTGCTGATTGGGCAAGTGAAGTTGATGCAGTGACAGATGAGACATCTTTGGAAGAATTACTTCAGCGATATTGCTTTCTTTCTAATTTATCTCTACTGAAGTGCATAGCAGAGAAGCTTGACCTCAAGGAATCAAAGTCAAGGATTGACCAGCTAGCTGAAGAGAGAGATGCCTTCTATAGCAAAGTACTTGCTGGAGACTTTGCTGATGCAAAAATGGTAGATCACGAAATAATAAAAGAGCATCATGTGGAGGTAAGCTTCATTTAACATGTTACAGTATATGATTATTATTAATTTTAGATGACTGTTGTTGTGTCATGGCCTTCATCTGAGACAACCCTAGCAAGATTTCAAGACTTCATCACTGAAGAGTTTAAAGATCTCTCCATGTTCATAGCACTGAGAGCTGTTCATCACAGCTCGCTGACACCTTTATATACTGTGCCAATCTGGGCTTTAGGTCGTATCCGCTCTGCAATAGCATCTGGCTTTGGATATTTTCGTGGAATTCTACAAGTCATACTTAATAATGAAGTTATATATGTAAGTATATATACTTGTGTGTAACTGTGTATGCATCTATGATTCTGCAATAATAGGAAGTAAAATCTTTTCACGAAGATCTTGTTAAAGATATTGAAATCCTACTCATGCCAGCCACTACAAGTGAAGAAGGCCCAGTAGTGGATTATCTGAAGAAATCACCTGAAAAGGTCATTGAAACATCTATTGATGGTCTGAGGATATACATAGGGAATTATGGAAAAAGCAAAGTCATTGTTGTGATGACCGCACCAGATAAGAGCAGGCAGGGTCCCATTCATGCTGCTGCTATCACATCAAAAATGTTAGAAAAGATTCCAAGCATCAAATACGTTGTTGCTGTTGGCGTCTGTTTTGGAATGGATCCAGGAAAGCAGAAGTTAGGTGATATCATCATTTCAGGCACAATCTGTGATTTCACAAATAAACGTGAAGGAGTGGGTCAAAATGAGTATCAGAGAGGCCCTGAACACCAAGTAAATCGAACTATTGTGGACAAATTCCGACATACTCATGGTTTTGAAATGCCAGACAATATTAAAGTCACTATTGGGGTTCTTATATCAACATGCAGTCTGATCGATAATCCTGACGTTAAACAGGAATTGCTTGCCCAAAAACCTGGTGCTATAGCAGGAGAAATGGAAGGAGCTGGAATAATGGCTGCTATTGATTATGCCCCTGAACGTGGTGTTAGTGCTATTGTCATCAAGGGTATCGGTGATTGGGGTGATGGTGACAAAGAAGCCACTAAAGACTCAAAGGCTACTGCAGCCCGCAATGCTGCTCGTTATGTGTATGCTGCACTAAATGAGTGGAAACTTGAATAAGCAACTGACTTTGTGACTGACTAATGAGTGAACTTAGACTTTAGTTCTAATGGTTTAATTAGCTTCAGTAAAACAAATTTTGATAAAAGTGAATTTCAATTCAGAAAGGTTCACATTAACAATCATGATCACTGTATGCAATGATTGAGACATACAATATCAATAGACAAATCACAGCACACTGCCTCACAAAAAGTTATGCTTTGAAAAATTTGTCTGTAAATTATGCTAAGTGTGTTAAATGTAGTTGCTAACCTATCAAATCATCAGTACCATCAAGAGTACATGATATCAGGTACTCTTGGTACCATAATATGGTTAGGTTAGGAGTCACTAAAAGACTTCATACAGCTATTATAATAGCTTTTGCTCTTAGGTGGATCTTCACTGAGAAAAGCTAAGCAACGAAAGTATGACTATATACGATCAATTCCTTGTCTAACTATATATCAGTCCTTTATGCTCCTTCATGTGCAATGGATGGTTCATTGTTCCTCTTTGCTTTGCTGCTGTAGCTGTTGTACTTATGATATACCTACCATCATACCTGCAAATGAAAGGAAAAGAAGGTGAACCAACCAACCATGTGCATGTGCATCCTGAAGACGTTAAACCTCCACAGGCTCCATTGCCCATCACTGCCAGTATGTTATGCAATGAAATGTATGATAGATATTATATGATGATACTTAGTCTGTCTAAGAAGTAAAGCAAATCTATGTCCCTCATATAATACATGATGTATATACATTGTTATACTTTATGTAGGTAAACCACTGGATATTTCAGATTTATCTGAAATCGTTTCGAAATTAAAGGAATGCAAATTTGATCC